CCCACAAGTTTAAGCAGTGCCTGCAGTCAGACACTTTTATATCAGGACGCATAAGCAAAGAAGCATGTTTCCGCCCGGTTTTGGACCGGGGACCCTTCGCATGTAAGACGAACGTGATAACCACTACACTACGGTAACGGCGTTTGCTGCGTTAGTATGCTCCTTCAATAAAGCTGCCGTTTTGAGTTTCATTCCTCCCCATGTATGACTCCTGCGTTTGGGTCGTATTTCCTGCCTCACAGCGAGAAGGTCAGTTTAACAGATGCATGAATTTGCTTGAAGAATTTACAAACGCCCAGTTTGTAAGCAGTTTTATATCCTTAATGACACATCACAGCCTGCTTGTGTGTCTATAGTCCCTGTGTGTTCTTTTTGTTATTTTAAAGTAATGCTTCCGGTATTAAGTAGCTATCTCCTTTAGGGTTAAATATGTTTGGTTTTTTTTGCTTGCTAATAACTATCTGTTTTCAGTGATTTTGAACTTGCTTTTTGTCTGTATTTTTTGTCAGTATGTATGTTCGTAATAAAAATTGTATTCTTATCAACTTATCAACTACTTTCTTACCCTTCATTGATATTTCTCCACTTAATTAGACTATCTCCAAAATGATTCAACAATGAGAGATTGTATAGAAACACTGAAAATGATGTCTTAAGATACAAAAACAAATTAACTCAGAGGATCCATCCTAGAAGAAAGAGTCCCAGCTAGGATAGGAGTTAGCAGAGGATACGACAGAATCTTTTTACTTTTGCTCTATTGAATAGTAATAGTGAAGACACATAGCAAAGGGCTGCAGAACAGACCTGAACCTGGGCCAGCCGCTCTCAGCCATATGGCATATGGTCACCTACTCAGAACCACAGCTGTGGTTGTGGTGACTGTGAATGTGAATCTCTCTGTGTTAGCCCTGCGACAGACTGGTGATCCGTCAAAGGTGTACCCTGCCTCTGGCTCAATCTTATGTTATGTTATGTTATGTTATGTTATGTTATGTTATGTTATGTTATCTTATCTTATCTTGAGCTATATTTAAGCATTTCAAATTATTTCCACCTACAAGATTAAACATCATTAATCCATAACTTTGATCCAGTAATATAAATTATAATGTTTATTATTCTGTATAATGAGTATGATTGCTTCACGTACTTTAATTATATTTGTCTAAATCTTTAGTACTCTTAATCTATTTCAGTAAGATTGCGGCTTTTACTTAAGTTAAAGTTTAGAGAGAAAAAAGGAGGCTTGAATGAGTTGAGAAACCAGTGTAGGAACCTTCGTTTTCTTGTACTGAGTTGCAAGGGGGAACAAAACAAAGATCGGACTCACTGGCATGTAGCTTATGGAGACGTTATGGAGACGATGCCCATCCCTCGCTATGTTTTTTGCGAACCGTGTTGTGTTCTGTGAATTTTGAGGAGCCACAAGCTGACAAATGGAGGATCTCAGCGTTTAATAAACTCACTGGAGCGCGAATCTGAGCCGCCAATGAAGCCAAAACACGAAGATGCGGAAGTAAATGTGGAGGGGCTGCCGCAGGAAGGCAGGGTGAACATCGGTGCTGCCTTCCCCAGGTGGAAAGCACTGAAGAGGGACAAATGTTTCCAGACTGACGCTGAACTTGCGTGTTTTCTGCTGGACAGGTAACCTCTGCTACCTATGGGGGAAATATCTTAACCCCGTTGGGATGCAGATTGTACGTACGATGCTCCAAAAGTTTAAACTCAGACTTGGGGTGTAACAGGTGTAAATGCGTCATGCTGCTTTTCTCGGGTATGTGTATCAGTGTGAGGTGAAGTGACTCTGGTATAAAGGGCAGATTGGAGCCAGTTTTTAATTTTGAAGATTTTGTGCTCAGCCTGTTCAGCATCAGCTGCGACAATAACTTTCATATGAAGGACTGATTGGGGCCAGTTTTCAGCTCAGGAGGTTTATAGACAAACATGTCGGGAGTCCAAAAGCAGCATAATTTCATTTAGCAGGAAAGTAGGGTTTAAGTATTTTGGGTTCTTGTTCATAACTAAAAGCAAAGCAGGTCCCCCGCGGCGTGGCGCACAGCGTGATGTGAAAAAAAGGCACATACCTTTGATGTTGTGTGATGAACTCTGTATTCCTCCTCCACACATAAATGCAAAAATGGAGTTTTTAAAATCTCCGTTTTCGGTGATTCGAAACGCTGTTTACGTGGACGAAACAGCTGCGTTTTAAAAAATACTCGTGTAGGTGCGAACGCAACGTAAAAGAGTTAGTAGTTTATTTTCTTACTACCTGTAATTTATTGCAGATTACTTGTATTTGCTTAATTGTTTACTAAATGTTTGAGGTGTGAAATAAACT